CAGTGTTTGTTCTGTCATGACCCTGGTCACTTGGTTGTAGACTGTGCAGCCTGGAGACGGAAGCAGCAGGAGGCAACTTCAGGACAGCAGCCACAGGGAGTTGGGTTAGTGAAGACGGTGACTCCCGTTGGCTAGGTTGCCGCTCCAAAAGGGCCTGATGAGTGTTTTAAACCCTTTATCTTAAAAGAATTGGTGTCGCTCACAGGAGAGGCGGAGGACCAGCGCCCAGTGACGGACTACGCGACACTGGTGGGTCGCAGTCCTTTATTCTTGCCAGTGCTCTGCCTTTTACTGACGAGTCTGCCTGTGACGTGAGTACCGTGGTAAGAGGGATTGAAATGGGTTTCGTTCCCGCACCTCTCCACCGAGTACATGTGCAGACCAAATTAATAAGTGGTTTCTCCCCCGTGGCCATCCGCTCACGTTTTCCCGTTGATGGGGTGGAGTTCATCATGGGAAACGATGTAGCGGGAGGTAAAGTGTTCCCTGACCCTGAAGTTGTGGATGTCCCCATACCTGATTCACTGTTGGCTTCTGTGCTAGTTCTCTCCCTGTTGGTGGGTCGGTGAACGGCACCTCAAAGGACCCCAAAGGTATAGCAACGTCCGCGACTGAGCCGGCGGTGGCCTTGCCACTGACCCGTAAGGCCCTCATCGGCGCCCAGAGAGACGATCCAGCCATGGCAAGGAGTTTCGCCGCAGTGGGTGAAGGCACTAGTGAGTGCAGTAATAAGCAGCCCTACCTAGTGGAATGCGGTGTGGTGATGCGGAAGTGGGTCGCAACAACAGGTAAGGCAGCAGTTAAATCAGTCAAGAGGACATTGGCAATAGGTCTCCTTCTGTGTGTTGTCTTGTGTGTTTTTTGTTGTTATAATGTAGAGACATGTATGATGTGGGTTGGTTGGGGCCAAACAGGTGTTTGGTCTTATGGGAGGGGGTGTTACGTGCAGAGCCACGGTGGATAAAAGGAGGGGAGCTCCAGGAGGACAACCCTTTGGGCCAAAACCGCAGTAGTGAAGCTGTGTGTGTGAGCGTGTGGATCAGTGTGTGTTCCAGCGTGTGTTTAAGCCGTGTGTGCTGTTTGTATATCGTCAAGTAGTGTCGCTTTCTTTTGATAAGAAAGTAGTTATCTTTTGCTGCCGTGTAAGCAGCTAACCTTTTTGCAATAAATACTCCTTTGTTAACCCTCATCAGTTGCTCATTCTCTCTTTCCCCAGGAAATTAACATCGTTACTCCCCGCATCCCTTAGACGCCAAAAGGGGAACGTATCAACCGCGATGAAATAGTGGAGTCTGGGGCAAACATATTCATATATTCTCACTTAGTCTCCTTTCTAAGCTTGTGTTCTGTCACCATGGCCATTAGGGCAGCAGCTTTCCTCCAAGTGGAAATGCTCAATAATTTGGCTTGTACTACATTTAGCAGCACAGTATGGACCATTGCACAGTGTATCTGGGGGATCTTATGTGAGTGACATTCCCTATAAAAGGCAGATGGTAACAATGTAGGTGACACTGGGAAGCCTTGCGCTGTCACTGGACCATATCCTTCCCACTTAAAGATCTTTTTTTTATCTCTAGCTGAACCTTGTCGTATGTTCAGCATGTCCTTTAGGGAATGTCATATTAACAGTACAGCGAGGGAGAGAGAAGGGTTTTGGAGGGGAACTCCTAATATGTCTTGAATTATTTTCTCTTGGATTTTTCTATACTATCAGTCTACTGACAGTCCATGTGTCTTTGTATGGTGGAAAGACCAGACACCGAGGGCCGTGTTGTGTTGGGAAGAAATATGTGTAAAATAAATCTGTTTATATGAAAGCAGGCTTAAATGTAAATACAAATGTTATATCATCATAATACTTTGTAACATAACCAGTTCAGTAAAGTAACACTAATTCAACTCTCAAAAGAGGAAATCACATTAAAGGGAGCACTGATGGAAACACAGGATTCTTTATCACACCAAGATACAATCCAAATGTGCAACATCCATTAAACCACACTGTTGGACAAGCTGTGTGGAAAATAATACAAATCGTACATAAACATTCTGGTAATTAATTATAACCTTTATCATGACACTTTTCCAAATCAAACACTTGAACCAGAATGCATTATTTTAGGTGTATCACCATCTGAACTCACAATAGAATATACAGATATCCATACAGGATACTATGAAACATAAAACAATGGTTAAGACCTACTCCACCTTCATTTAATAACTGGAAGTCATATGTAAACAGCATTCTAGAAATAGACAGAAATATACAATATAATCAGGAATCAAGAACAGGAATATATGCAACGATGGGTAGCACTTTATAATAACGACACACTATGAAGCATTAGTTAAGTATGAGTAAACACTAAATTCATCATTTATAAAGCATTGTTCCAACATTAATAATTCATTAGTATGCAGTTCATAACAACAGTTGTAAATGTTTTATTCTTGATTAATAAGCCCGTCTATTATGTGTTTCATTATTGTGTTTTCATACTTTATAAATGATGGATTCCCCATTTGTATTTTACAAATTTTCATTTAACAGCATATTGTTTGCATCTTGCAATAAATATTAATATGTTTTTGATCACTTTGTGTTGTGTCTATTTGCCTGTTCTGTTCAAAAATGTGTCAATGTGTTTTGAGACACTGCTGGCCTTTCAATGTCATTCATAACTGCTTTATAAGGCATAAATAGACCTCACTTTAGATGAGGTCACATAAAACACTTTACTAACGAGTAGTAACTACCTTAATAAATCATGAATTAATCATGAATTGCAGTATTAATATGCGTTTATAAAGCATATATTAACATAGTCCCTAACCATTATATATATAAATGGATGAATAATGTACATCTAAATAAGTTATTAATCATTTACTAACACTTTATAAATTATCTTATTAATCATCTACAACTCCTTAATAATTGGTTTGTAAAATATATAATACTTCATTTACAAATGGGGAATCCATCATTTATAAAGTATGAAAACACAATGAAACACATAATAGACGGGCTTATTAATCAAGAATAAAACATTTACAACTGTTATGCACTGCATACTAATGAATTATTAATGTAGGAACAATGCTTTATAAATGATGAATTAAGTGTTTACTCATACTTAACTAATGCTTCATAGTGTGTAGTTATTATAAAGTGCTACCCAACGATGGAATAATGGATTAGATAGGATTATAAATGAACAATATTGAATGATTCAGCCTCATTCTTTTCCTGTGGTGTGTACATAAATGTTAGAATGGCATAATGTACACAACAACATACTAACTTTCATTTTATTCTATAAATTTATTTTCTTAATCTTTTCCTTTTTATTCTTACTCTTTTCTAGATTTATTTATGTTTTCTAATTAACTATCATTTTTACTTTCTTACTGTAGAATATATGAACATTGTAGGAATATTATGTAAGTATCAACAACAAGAAGCAAATGTTAACTCTTCTTCTGCAATAAACTACAGAAAAAGGGGGAAATCGTGCCTGTAGTGTCTGGAAAGCGTGAAAAGAAAAGAAGATGGAGATGCAGCTACAGAGCCGAGAGAATCAGTTGTAACTGAATGAGCAGACACCGATATCCTTCTGATTTAATGTCTTTCTGATGAACTGATCATCAGACCTGATGGACAGAGCGCGCCTCCAGCAGAGCTACTGAAAACATCAAATCATGCATTCTATTATATCAGGCTTTCAATCTTGAGCCCTGGCTTCAAAATTGTAGTTTTTATTGTTTTCCACCAGAGTGAGCCATTTTCTTGTGTTTGCCCTATGGGGCAAATTCATGCTATTTTCCTGGTTTCCTGCAGAAGCATGACAATGCATCAAATCAATGTTGTTGCTAATCATTGAAATATTAAAGACAATTTAGTATACAGAATAAAAATTCAATTTGTGTGTGTTTTTTTCATAACAGTGGCCTTGTGTGAACATAACGTCATGAGAGGTCACTGGACCAGGCTAGGGTGGGGCGGTGCCAGGGAAACTAACAAAAACAGACAAAATCAATCAGGTGGCCTAAACACCCACACCTGGGTGAGTGGTGAGGCCTTCTGGGAGCTGTGGTTGTTGCCTCGGCGGCCATCTTGTAGTGTGGCTGCTGCTCCTTAAAGGGGAAGTAGCACCCATCTACCACCTGGCCCTGTGTGATGCCACAATACTTGCACTGAAAGGGTTAGAATTCTGAAAATTAATATTTGGTAGTTATGATCAGGACTGATGTTGGCTGAAAGATTAAACTTTGAAGTGGAAAATAATGGATTCAAAATCTGTTTTTTTAGGACGCTGACATTGTTGTCCTCTAAGGACATCAGAACAACTCATTTAGAGCGAGGACTGAGTCTGACACTCACTGTCAAGGAAAATGTTACTTTTTTCAAAAGTCAAGTACTAAAATGAAATGACACAGAGATGCATCAACATGCCAGCTCTCACGGTCTCTGAATATGAACTTGGTGTGTGTGTGTGTGTGTGTGTGTGTGTGTGTGTGTGTGTGTATGTGTGTGTGTGTGTGTGTGTGTGTAGGTTTGAGTCCTTAGCAAATTTCTGCTCAGGGTCCATGAAAAGCACTCAAGTGATATTTTGATGGGATTAGTATGGTATGGAAACAGGATGATGTCAAATGGCCACTCCCACATGCACAGTCGCACAGCTGGCCAGTTATTGTCAGCACAACCGCCATTGATTGAGAGTTCACACCACTTCTCTCGGACTGTGGAAAGGTTTTCTGCGAAATGTAGGACACCTCCAACTGAGATAAAACTAGTGGCTGCACCAATTTCATTAATTGCAACACACACAAAATGCCCCAAACTTCTAAAATACATGAATTACCGTCTAACTGGAAATACAGTGAAATGAATATTTTCAATAGTTATGGCTTGATGATGACCAACATTTACTGCATGAAAGAAGTCCCGAGAAACTGACACACACTGTGCCCCTCCCTCTCTTCCTCCCCAGACATCCGTTGTTCCCCCTGCTGGCGTTGTTGTTTGAGAAATGCGAGCAGGCCACACAAGGATCTGAATGCATCACGTCAGCCAGCTTTGACGTGGACATTGAGAACTTTGTGCATCAGCAGGAGCGAGAACACAAGCCTTTCTTCAGTGAGGATCCAGAGCTGGACAACTTGGTAAGACAACTGCTATCCCATACCTGGTAATCAGTACCAACACGGAACGCTTCAGCCACTTTGATAACAGGAACACGTTGCATAGTTAGTTTAGGGAGCATGCTCAACTTAAATGTAGAATAAGAGAAAATAATAATGAAGCTGTAGCAATAGCTGTTTGTCTGTTTCCAGCATATCCAATCATTACTACTCCTAATCATTCCCTCCTTTTTCATGTAATCTTCCCCATCCTCCCCCTGCACTTCCCCTTGCACAACAGCTAGCAGTAATTACTAATTAAGAGAATGAGGATGCTGATCATATTCACTGAGAAAAGAGGGGGAGGAGTTGAAGTCAGAGACAAAGACAGACCCGAGAAGGAAAAAAAAATAATGTGCTCTCTTGCCATCACAGTACTCGGGTCTACAGGCCGACAAGTGCTGAACAGTCAATTAACCCTGCATCTGTGTGTTTTATGAGGCACTGGGTACGGGCATCCCTCCCAGAAGGCACTAACTCTTCCACAGGACAGTAACGTTACACTGGGCCTGACTGGCTGCGATGGACAAAGAGTTACTGGTCCCTTGATTAAGCGAGCGCAGTTTAATTAGCTGATTTATCTCCTCCTTGGCCAAGCACTTTTCTGTCCATTGTGTTGACCTTGCGTGGTAACTTTGAGGGAGTGCACTGCAGTGTGCTGCACAGTGTGGAGTGAAGAAGACCCCCCCTGCTGATGGTCAGTTAACCCAAGAAAATACAGAATTATTATTCCTGTTTAGAAAACAACAACAACACTTTACTACAAATAAACCCTCAAGATTCTAATCTTTTTATAGTTCCAAACAATATTCTAAATATATTCTTGGCCATTATGAGGAAATAAACCTGGGCCCATGCAGTTTCCTAGCAACACAACCAATGAAATGGTCTGTTAAATATCAGACATCTGTCCATCAGTATCTAATATGGCTGAAGTTCCTCTCTGACCCCTGCTATTGCAATCATTTAATTCATTATTTTATGCGGGTAGAGCAATAATTCACTGGTGTGGGGAGATTTTCCTCAACATCTTCGGAAACATCGGTCTGTAACAGCTGCACTGAAACCTGCCTCATCAGCCTTCAGAGTTCCTTTGGAGCACGTTTCAGTGAATAATTAATGGCCCGTGATGGTCTGAATGCTGTATTCAAGTCTTTGTTTGCTTGCCATTTCGGCTATAGTTTTACTTTTTTTGCAGGCTAATTTTAAATAAATCCTTAAGCCCTGAGATGCAAGAGAGAAAAAGAAAATCTAAAAATCCATTTTGTAAATTGTTTCAGAAAAAGTAGAAAGCTTCAAACTGCTTTATTTTTCATCTGGGAGGACAGGTGAAAGAAAGTGGTTGTAGCAGGTGACTTTGTTTTGGTCAGGATCAAGTGTTTCTTGTTGTTACACTCATTGACCACCACTATCCCATGCTCTCAATGGTGAGGTGAGTTTTAATTTACATAACTTGTTAACACACAATATATTTACCGTGTGTTCAGAGTGCTTGGAGAAATGAAAATTCACATGGAAGAACACGGATGCTTTTAGTCCTGTTTAGAACATGGGGTAGTGGTGTACCTTAGCATTTTGTGGCCAAAATGAGTATTACAGCAACAAACAAGATTCTGACAGAAAAAACAAATTCACCTGTTCTTAAGTCATAAACACAGGAGAGAAAACTCTTAACATTAGATTTAGAAAAGGGATCACCAGATTGTTTTATTCGATGGCCTCTTAGGGCTTCAGTAACAAGTGACTCAGCTATGACAAAGAAGGGCTGTGTTATCTCTCACTGAGTTCTAACATGAGAAGCCTACTTTAGTGTTCTAAAAGTAATGGCTGATTGATAAGCTTTCATTAATAAAGTAACATGTGATATGGTTTAGGAAACAGCTATAGACTTTGAGTTTCAAGTTCATTCTTGACATTTGGGAACAGTATGTACTGTATAACCCAATATCTACACTTAGCTTTTCTGAGCTTTCAACTGCATAGTCTCACAGTCCTCATCCACTGAAGAAGACCCAGAGATGCAGTTGAAAGCCTTGAAAAAGTAGTAAGTGTACATCTGACCACACAATATTTCTTTACCGTGAGCTATAAAATCGAACACGCTAATCTCTGCAAGCCCCTGTAGCACAGATTACATCTCCAAACAGTAGAGAGAGGGATGAGGCTACTATATGTGACAAAGATTCTTCTGGTGAAGCTAATTAAAAGGACTGTATTGATCAGACAAAATCTTCAACTAAACATAATATTTAATCAACGTCATTATCATATTATTATGATGAAAATAAGCTATTTTAATAGATTAGTTTGAATGTTGTAGCCCACAAGGCAGACAGACAGTAGAGAAGCATCCTGTACCTTTGCCCTGTCAGCATTATATTACATTACAGGCTGGATCTTTGGGAGAGTGAAGGATGAAAAGATTACAGAATCCCCCCCCCCGCCCCCGTATACTTGCAATCTATATGCATCTCTGGAATAAATAATAAAAGTGGATGTCACTCCACTCATCAATAAAGGAAGCCGCTGCATGGCACTTCTTATCATCACATCTCACCCTCTAAAAACCTACTGGAAACATCCCATCTCACATCTAGTGTCTTAGAGTTTAATTAATTCACTTAACGTGGCCAAATGTGTGTGTGAGCTAATATGGGGGATCATCTATGCTGTATATTTAGAACTAACTTGTATCCAGTCATTTGGGGCACATGTGCACCAGTGTTAAGGGTTTTTAATGGGTTTCCTGCGTTGACTTTTAAAGGAGATTAAACCTTGAAATCAACTAAATTAAAAGAATCCCTGAATTTGTATCTGAAAGGACCAATCCACCAGCTGTACGCATGAGGTTCACATTATAATGTCTTCAGCGATGGAGGAGGGAGCTTGCCGGTCTTTGGACTTTGGAGTCTTGAAAATTTAATACTGAAAAACCTTCATTACAAACTGGAGGTGTTGGTATGATTGCGAGCATTTAGGTAGCATTAAGCTCAAAGCAGCACTGTGCTTCATAGAGCCCCACAGAGCCGTTAGCATGGCTGTAGAGTGATAGACTTGTTCCCCTTTTAACACCCTCATTTCTGCATAGATATTCCTGAATGTTTTGGAAAAGACAAATAAGTCTTGCTTCATGCTATATGGTAGATTTGAAGTGTTTAAGTGTTTTATTAAAGTGATCAGTTCTGTCGTATGTTGTGGAGGTGATCTATTTACAGTTGGTCTCTGTTTCCCTCAGATGGTAAAGGCCATTCAGGTGTTGCGAATCCATCTATTAGAATTAGAGAAGGTCAATGAGCTCTGTAAAGATTTCTGCAACCGTTACATCACCTGCCTCAAGACCAAGATGCACAGCGACAACCTCCTCCGTAACGACCTCGGAGGACCTTATTCCCCGTCACACACCAGTCTCAACGTGCAGCAGGTCAGTCATGGACTCTCTGTGGATCTTACACTTCCTTGATGGTATCTCTCTCTGAGTAGCACTTCCCAAGATACACCTTGTCATTTATCACCAGGTAGATTTTGCTTCTGGGAGTTTTTCAGTCACTAACAGTAGAGCTGCCTCTTTGCATTTGCTCACTAATATCTCTCTGTGATCCCCCAGGAACTAATTCAGACCTCCTCTCCATCCATGACCTCTGTCTCCAGCTCTGTTAACCCTTCAGGGATATTGGTGCCCGCCGGGGGTCTGCAACAGAGCAATGTCGCCATGACTACCATCAACTCTCAAGTGGTATCGGGTAAGCATGTGATTACACACATAAACACCAGGACTCTGACACAGTCACGTGCAGTTTTCATGGCTTGTATTAGTATTAGCAGAGTATTTGTGTAATTTGACATTTAAAAGTCCATGTGACTTGGATTGGTTGAGGCTGTTCTGGTAAGAACAGCAGTTTCCTTTCACACAGAGTGAACTGAAGCTTCCACATACATTCCACGGACATAATATGACATAAATTACATTTGCCATGATCACACTTGCTTTTACAATACACCTATTTTTGCATCTCTCTGGTTTCAGTTAATGGGAATACATTATGTCTATAATCTAAACCCTTCATTTGTCCAATGGTCAATATTGTATCATTGTATGTACCAGTACTGAATGGTATTACTGTCTGTATGCATGGTGGAAACATCGTGATATGCAAAACCTATTGGGAATTATAGAGATTCATGCTTTCATTTTCATTATCAGGGGCAAAACACAGAATGAGAAGGTAGATAAATTATGTTTAATGCTTCAAGTTGTGTTAGTTACTAGACACTAAATGATTACTAGCGGTGAGTAATGTGCCAATCCTGGAACCCATCGGCTATCAGTCTGATGACAATTTAGCCACTGGGGGCAACGGAGACTATTTCTGGGCTTCCGGTGTAGCCTGCGGGAGTTGAGATATCAGCTATGATCGGACTGTTTCACAAGTAGCCATTTTACAGTTTATCTTTTAGTTAATAAAAAGCTAAATTGTCATCAGACGATAGCAGATGGGTTTCTGCTTCTTCTGCTCACCAAATGAACTGTTTACCTGCATGGGTTAGGGTTACCGTTACCAATTTATACTAATTGGTAACGGGGATTAAGTCTACTCTATTGAAGTTTGTATTCAGTGATATCCAACGTGATGTTCTTCTTCTGGCTCTCTGGTTTCGTTTCTACCATACTAGCAGAAGTTATGTCTCCAATGGAGGAGCCTCATTTATACCTGCCCACCGGTGAAGTCCCCCAGAGATTCATTTAGGGACCACTTTTGTTTTTAACATGTATATGCAACCACTGGGTCACGGAGATTTTAGACTAAATTCCACCTCTACGCTGATGACACACAGCTGTATGTCCATGTTAGATTTGGTGACACAGCTAATGTAACCCAGATCTGGTCATGTTGGGAAGTGAAAAGCTAGATGACCCAAACCTTTCTTTGGCCTCCCTCTTTTTCTTTTCACCCTTCCTGCACAGTCACAACGGAGTCATCACATCACAGGACATGTAACATGGGAGTGATATCTGACTCTAGACTTTTGTTTGAAAATAAAGTGAGACTAGATCCATCATGCTTTCTCCTAAGCCAACATAAATTAATTTTCAACTCTCTAGTGTATTCTAGTTTAGATTACTGCAACACACTTTACTCAGCTCTTAGCCATACGACACCATAGTTGCTTGCTCTAGCTTATTCAGAGGGCTGTTGCCTGGCACAAATACCTAATTTTTTAACTCTAATTCATTCAAATTAATATTATTTTCATCATGGCATTATTTTTATTTATTAACATTTTCTTCTCTGCCTTTTAACCACGTTTATTTTCAAAATTTACAATTTCTTTGTAACTGCATTTAGAAAAGTCCTACAAAGGTTATTATTATCTTTAATATTCTTCCAAAAATTAGGAATGTTAAAAGTAGTTTACTACTATGCAAAATCAACATTGGTTTGCATTAATAATCATTATTATCAAATATATATGAGCATATTAGTAAAACAAAGAATCAGTTTGGTTAGCATGCATTAGTAACAGAGCTTTGTGTGTACAGTATGTATACTGTACACTATGTGTCTAGGAGAGCCATGATAGTATCCTTCCCATGTTGGATTGGTTGGCTGATATGATCTTATAATGTCAAGCCTGTGCAGTGAAATGTTAATCCTGCCCTCCGGAAATCCCTTTTAACCCAAAATAAATCAATATCTGCCTTTGATCACTACACACTGAAGAGCTCAAACAGACTTTGATAAGAGTGTCTTGATCAAGACTAATTAAGCCAGAAGCAAAAGCTCACTCCCTTCTTCTTCTTCTGTTGGGCTGAAAGACATCAACGCACCTCGAATTTAATCTTGTCGTCTCTCGTTTGTCTTGTGTTTGTTTGTGCGGCTGACAAGAAGTTAGTAAGGCTCCGGTGGCAGTGCGAGATGTGGCTGCCAGTAGCTGCTGAAGCCACTTGATACTCATGATGGTAAATTATCCCCTCAGGTGGGACCCTGTACCAGCCGGTTGCCATGGTGACATCGCAAGGGCAAATGTTAACGCAGGCGCTGCCGCCGGGAACCATCCAGATCCAGAACTCACAGGTAAAGCCGTCTGACCGATGGTGCTTTGGCCGACACATTCGCTCCCTCCCTGTACCCTCGCCAGCAACTCTTCATTTGTTATTATTAAAAGAGGCTCTTTACATCTCACAGAAAACCCCCCGGCACCTTTTCATTGTCTGTCTGAACACAGCACCCCCGCTGACAGACACAATGGAAATAGTTCCTTCCTATGATGTTTAGGGCACTAAAAGGATCCTGTCAGGTTTGACTGTGAACGAGTTATGTAAGGACCTTAGAACAGTTACCTCCACATGAATGCCTGGAGTTGGATTTTTTTATGGCACAAGGCCACATTTGTGGTCTTAATATTTCCCATTTTCCAACTCAAAATGCTTCTGCAGTTATTTTAGGATACTCACAGTTCTTTTGTCTTTTGAGTGTTAGGTTGTTTGGGAGATGAATGAGCCTCATACCTGTTCCTAGTAATCAACGCCCATAAGCAGACTGGTTATCATAGCGTAGCATCGGCCAACCCAGACCAGCGTCCAACAACTATCTGGCTCTGCTCTATAGAATCGCATTTAATCGTTTCAGATCATCTCCATGTTCAGGCCTGTTTAGTGGATTTGGAGCTTGTCATAGTAATAGTGGTTACCCGCAGACGTTGGAAGGAGATATACGTTCATAAAACGTTGTTTCTACTTAAAAACCTGTGGAGCTAACATTAGCAGAGTATGTTAGCACATCATTAACTAGCATTCGCACTTCTATGCTATGCTAGCTACTGAAGGTTTTTGCTTTTGCTTTTGCTTTTTAATGATTGTAACAGTGAATAAAGACCAATTGGCTTGACAGCAACACTGTTGTTCCTTAATTTAATGTGTTGCATCTGGATCTCCAGGTGATGTGCTGGTTTACTTTTACACTGATCTGTAGCTTAAGCTTCTGTCTTTTTAACCGGTTTTCACTGCTGAATCAGTTTAACAACCTGTATATACCCTTCAAACGCAGATTTTAGACCTGTCAGTCAGTTTAGCTTTGTAATTGTTAGTGACAGGTTAATGAAGTAGCAGGAGCAGAATGCAAGGCTTAGCAAAGGGTCAATTACAAATTTAGCTGAAAGCTAACTCATTCAAAAGAAGTCATTTGATCATAGTCATGCATAGGGGCAAAACATCAGAATATTAGAGATGAAGCCTACTGTAAAAAGCTTTGTAAAGCTGCTCAGAGTATATGTTTTACTTTGCTATTAGTGAACCACTATTTAGCCTCAGTGCTCTCTCTTTGTTTCTTTTAATCATTCCCTCTGTTTTTCTCTGAATGATGAGTCAGAGTTGATTTGATACTTGCTTACCTGTGCTTATTAAGTTGAGCTTAACAATTTAACATTTCATCACAGCTGAATATAGCAGCTAACCCTGATGATGCGTTGTTTGTTGCCTTCATGTTTTTTAGGCCAGCGGTAAGCATTTAGAATGTCATTTAATGTCTTTTCAAAAGTGTGATTGTTTTGTTGAAAGATAATCTCCATGAAGGTAGGAGATGACTGTTGGCAAACAGAACCTTAATGACTTTCCTGTTGTATCCACCATCACAGACCCTCCTCTGTTGGGATGGAGGTCTAAGAGTATTGAGAGTAGAGGCCATCAGGCAATTGAGCCCTTGTTAGGTCTGCTCACAGGACAAATGTCTCTGTTTGGCTTCGTACAAAGAAGTGCAAGAAATCTGAGCTATGCTAAGTGGATTTAAAGCATCACTGGTGCGGCCAGTCTTTGTCTGGACTGTACAGTCTCAACACTCGCTTATAGATATAAATAAAAACTGGGACTTCAAACAGTGATCCCTGTGCAGCGGCAGTGGCCTGAAGAGCGGCTCAGTTTCAGGCAGGTAATTCTGTGCTTGACAGTCAAAGGAGGCCTCTGTGAATAGGCCCGACCCAGCTGAGGCAGAGGGCTACATGCGGGCTGGGAATTGAACACAGCCCCGTTGCTACTTTGCCGACAAGCCCTGAGTAATCACACTCTCAAGCTCGGTGCCGCCAATTAATTCAACCTTGCTTTCCCCCGCAACACACGCACTCCCAGGGCTGTGGGGGGGGGGGTATAAGAGGAGGGGTTACCCACGTGACACCCAGCTGCAACTGTAAGGACTGTTGTTTCGTGTGGGGAGGATAAGAGGGGGATGTTAGTGTGTTTGAATGTGTATTTATGGGCCCCGTGTGGGTTAAGGGGGAGCCTGCATGTTGTTGGCTGCATATAGGTTTGTCTGTTATTTATCTCCAAGACAGCAGGGATTCTTTCTACCACTACGCTCTTCATTAAATTAATACATTTTATATTCTTTAGAAGACTTTTATTTATTCATGCTTTTTGTCCTCCATGCTTATGCTTAACAAATGTTCATCCAGTATGCTCCCCTCTGAAGTGTTTTAGCCTTCACAAATGGGTACCTCTTTCAAAGAAATCATGAAAAAAACTCAAAGTGGATGGTACTGCATGGTACAATTAGAATGTTGGATTAAAAAGTTATGTCTAATATTATATATTACATTGGTACAACTATGCAGGCAATAAAAGACATTGTGCGATGTGACTTGGTGCATGTGTATGGATAGAAATAGTGTCAAAGAAGAATGAGGGCTCACATGTGTTTCATATTATCTGCCTCAGAGCACACATGCACACACATATCTATCTTCACAGTGAATTGAACAAACACATACTATACTGTTCTATAGTGAACACATGCAGACGCACAGATGCATTTGTTTTTTTCCCGTAGGAGGACATTGCATCATCTTGCGTTCTTTCTCTGGGGACTCTGGGGCTAACCTCCAACCATAACTAACACATGTCTAACCCCAACCCTTTTGTGGTTTACCATGTGGGGACCAGCATTAGGTCCCCATTTAGGAGGGGAGTCTCCACATGAGACTTTCCTACACACACAAGAAATCACATTCAAAAAGATATCACATTTATTGACATTAAAGAATCAGTCTGGTGTTTTTTAAATATTTTTGTGATTTTAAACAAATCCCACTAAAAGACCGTAACCAACAATTAATTAGTGCATTTCCCAATACTTTCTGAATTGCCCACCTTGCCTCTTGCACTTTAGCCCCAATTCCATTGATTCTTATTGAATACTTACATTTTTAATGGCTGACAAATATATTGTTTATCTTTTTTTAAATAGGCTCAGTCATTTCCTAAAACAACTGGCCACTGTAGATTTAATGAAACGGTTCTTAAATAATAATAAATAATAATAATACATTTTATTTATATAGCGCTTTTCATAAAACTCAAAGACACTTTACATTAAAATCATCATATACGTATAAAAGCAATACACTAAAAACATAAAATACACAATAGTGGTCACACATTAAAAGCAGTTTTGAACAGGTGGGTTTTGATTTGAGATTTGAATGTGCAAAGGTCAGTGCAGTCTCGGATGTGTTTGGGGAGAGAGTTCCAGAGGGAGGGGGCAGATATGGAGAAGGCTCTGTCACCCCATGTCCGGTGCTTGGTCCTGAGTGGAAGAGACAGGAGGTTGGCATCAAATAGTAAATATGTCATGTTTTGAGGACTATTTTCAGTGGTGGATTAATCCACACTGTGTGCTCTTATGAGTATTTGTGGCAGCGGGACGGTGTATGTAGAATTGAGTCAAAATAAACTAGTGTGTGTGTTCATGGTGATGAAGGAACATGTCACCCAGAGCATTGATGTGTTTTTAATGGAGCTCTATGGCACAGAGGAAAGAAGAGATATCAGGCATTGATAAATACTTGTTAGTAGATACAATCACTGGTGGTTTGGTTCTTTTATTGTTTGTTGATAATAAGAAACATGTTACCATTTCTTCTCAGTTCTCCTCTTACCTGGAACAGCCACACTATTTACTAACCCTCACTGAACCTCGAGTGTGACCACAGACCCACTGATGACCATCACAGCCCTAAATGTCCTCACAAGAACAGTGGACAACGAAGTCGGTCCTCACAAGTACGGCTCAGCCAGACCAAACCCATGGACTCACACACACATCCATATATGCACCGCAGGCTGCCAAACACTGTCAATACTCTGAGAGCATCTCGTCCTTCAGCACTTGCACTCCAAACAATAACATCTGAATAATGATTTCTCACTGAACATAAAGACAGGCTTAGGTCAACACAAATGAAAAAGCAAGACAAACACAGTCACACTTTGTAGCAGCCCTTCACTAATTCAGCACCAAAGTGTGAAATCCAAACTTTAGAGCGAAGCCTCGCCTGACCCTCGACTCTGTATGCTCCTTGTGTGACCCTCTTGTGTTACCACAGTCAATGCGCTGCTTTTCTTATATTTGAAGTGTCATTACTCAAATTCAGTTTCCATGGTGACTCCTGAGGAGGTGTTTTTGCCCTTGTCACTGGAAAAAAAGATAGGTAATTGGTAGTCTCCCTTTGTTTCCGTGGCAACAATAAGTAAGATACCATCCACTTCTTTTCTTTCCTTTTCTTCCCTTCTCTTCTCCTCCTGTGTTTATTGTAAAGGTAAACTTGGACCTGTCGTCCCTGTTGGACAGCGAAGACAAGAAGTCAAAGAATAAGAGGGGGGTCCTGCCCAAACACGCCACCAACATCATGCGCTCCTGGCTCTTTCAGCATCTCATGGTGAGGCAGAGTGTGAGTCTGAGATGGTCATACACATTGGCCTGTTCAAGGGAAATGTTTTGAAGTGGCAGCTATAGAATCAGAGCAGCGTTTGATGATGTGAGGGATGTATATGGAGAGCAAACTGGTTGAAGGAGGTTTATGAAGAGTAGAGCATTTCAGGGTTCTCACATTAAAAGTCAGAGATAATCAGGGAGTGTCACACAAATGCTGTTAACTAGAGAAAACATGCTTTAACAATTGAGACTGTGTTTCTTCCTTCTTTCAGCACCCGTACCCAACAGAAGACGAGAAAAGGCAGATCGCAGCACAAACTAATCTAACGCTTTTACAAGTGAACAACTGGTAAGATGCTGTATTCCTATAAGAATACTGCCATAAAGTCCTCATGTAGGGAGACAGGAAGACACTATTATTGTAGTAGAGTTATGTGTGGAGTGGAGGATTTACTTGGACTTGAACATACTGTCGCTCCCCAGCACATTGCTGGCTCTGTGGTGCCATCTCCTGCTTTTATATAGCAGGTACACCTCAGAACAAAGTGTGCCTCTCTGCTTGTCATGTGTCACTCTTTGATATATTTTTGATCTCAAGGATTAGGATTGAGTTTTTTTTTTAGATATGGAAGATATTTGAAGATAAGAGGTGCACAATTTGCTACTTTGTACTTTGGAATTCAGCCTTTTGATCCATTGATTGGTTGAGATGAAAGATGCTTTTTCTAAATGATATTATCTAGCATGTATTTTATTTCCCATCATTTACAATTGTCTTGTAAATGTCTATACTAGCAGTTAATACTGTATTTCATAAAAATAAATATTTTAAAATGATGACGGCAATGTTATAGAATTGGTATCTTTGGTGATATATAAGTGACATGACTGATCAGTGGACTGTATATAAGGAAATAAGAAAGCCTTGTCCTGTTCTTGTTCAGGTTCATCAATGCTCGTCGGCGTATCCTTCAGCCCATGTTGGATGCCAGTAACCCAGACCCAGCTCCTAAAGCCAAGAAGATGAAGTCCCAGCACCGTCCGACACAGCGCTTCTGGCCCGACTCCATCGTGGCTGGAGTTCTGCAGGCGCACAGATCAGGAAACAACTCCGACAGTAAGATAACGCCAACATTTCCCCGCCAACAACCCCTTAAGTTTTCAATTCAAACACTGTGTGTTTGAAATGTCCCCACTAGATGTCACTATTGACTTTTACTTATGTGAGAAGACGTGAAGGCAAAAGTCAACAACAATGTAGTATAATATTCTTGGTGGGTAAAAAAATCAGCATTTGTTCTACGGAATCTTAAATTTGGTCTGAGTGTGTGTTGGGAATCCAGAGGGGTCCAACTCTCTAGAGAATAGTTAGATAGAGAAATAGATTTCAGTCATCCATGGCCCATTTTAGGTTATAGATTGTAGTCATCGGGTGTATTTTATTATGTGCTATCTCTGCACTGCAGCTGTAGAAGGCAAAGACTGAGCAACGTGGAGAAGCAAACTTCACTGTCATCTCTGTAACGGAACCAGCAGTAATATGATATTCTTCAGCGTAGGTTTCATTCAGACAGGGGAAGATTTGGATCATTTGTTGTGGAATCATAAGGATGGACCTACATGTAAAACAATACAGAGGTTGGTGGAGTTTTAAGAAGGTTTATTGAGAGACCAGGCTGGACAAGGGTGACGTGGGCAGGCTGAGGTTGCACAGGGGGAGCAGACATGGCAGGACAGGAATCCTGGAGGACAGGAAACAGGACTACAATGAACTTAACTTATAAGCTTGGCTTATAAGTGTAGCAACCACAGTAGCTGAGACACTGATCTGGCGAAGAGCCGGGGTGGATATCCTGCAGGGATGAGGAGCTGACGAATGGCAGGTGTGTGAGCTAAGGGAGGTGATTAGCCGATTACAGGCAGGTGTGACGGTATTCTGGGCCCAGGTTAATGGTAGGACAGGAAGAGACCCACATACATCCGCACACATAAAACATGGAAGAAGTGGGGGACACTGGGAGACAAAAGAGAGAGAGAGACATAATAGACACTGAAATAAGCAGAAGCACAGCCAGGCCATAACATAAGGACGCTGTGCCTCTAGGCAGTAGTAAACTGTGCATAATTAGTATGCAAGTTTGTATTCAGTGTAAGTACTGCCAAATACATAACTTAACATATTCTGATATGACATTATATTAGTAAACAACCACCATTCTAAACTCTGAATTAACCAAATGCAATCAATGAGTCTGCGCCATTCTGTCGCTGGTATTTAAAGTTGAGATGAAATGAAACATTTATTTTTAAACCTTTTAGATTACATTTCGGTCAAATGTTCACCTATTTCTAAAATATGTGCATATGTTCTTCAAAAAAATTATAATAATTGTATATATATACCATATCAAAGTCCAGTAATTGTTTCGCCTGTGAAACAAAACATGCTTTTATATTTTATATTTATTTTGTATTTATTGCTTTTATAAGCAGTACCAGCCAACTTCTACCAGTAATTTGATGTCCATTCAATCAATCTACAGCTTTTAGTGCAGGGAGGTGTGCATGGAGCCACAGTCCTCTGTAGCTCCATGTCATTCTAGGCCCGGACACTTGTTAGCTGTCCAATCAAATGTAAAGGATTTGACTTAACCTCTTGTAACTGTAAATAGCTCAAATATTGTGTTTCACTGGGGAACCAGCAAAGTACAGGAGATAAAGTCACTAAAATGGCCTCCTTGGGCCACCGTACCTTAGCTGCTGAAAGCAACTTTAGTACAGAAGGGAGCGCGCATGAATGTGGAGGGAATGGATGTGGTCTGTCTTTGGGTTTTTGAATAGTCTCCCCCCTCTCTGTTTCTCTGCTTCCCCTCAGACCCGCTGAGTATGGACAGCCTCCAGTCGCTGTCCTCGGACTCGGCCACCCTGGCCATGCAGCAGGCCATGCTGGGAGCTGATGACTCCATGGACGGCACCGAGGAGGAGGATGAAGAGGAAGAGGAAGAGGAGGAGGAGGAAGGGATGGAGGAGGAAGAGGAGGAGGAGGAGGAGGAGGAGGAGGGAGAGGAGGAAAATGACAGGGGGAGGCTAATGTCCACCGGGGGAGGAGGAGGAGAAAGGAGAGATCTGCACATGGAGCATAGGGAGGAACTAGAGTAGTCGACTAGAGGAAAAGACCATATGAACTTTGACCTCACTTGTCCCCTGAGCACAGCCTCATTCAAACCTGAACTAGGACAGCTGGAATGCTAAGTGACTCTTGAGAGCATGTGAGGACATATTTTTCTCCAAATTCATCAGACTCTGATGTAGAGCAACTCCAGTCAGACACAATGACCATCATGCTCACGTTTACAGAGGACGGATGTGACTTTCATGATGAATATGTGTTGTTTCATTTTACTAGTGAATGTTCTAATGCAGTGAGCTCTCGAAATATTTGGATAGTAGCACATTTTTGTACTCTATAGCTCCTGTTATTTATGGACAAAAATGGCACAGGAACTCAGAAGTTGAAGAGATCGCTGCCAGTTTTAAATTGAGAAATTTTAAGGCAGTTTTGAAAGTAAAGTTTACTGTGAACTGAAAAAGTGAACAGTGGATAAAAAAAAAAAGATTTTTATGTGTATGTATGTGAAAAACTACTTTTAAAATTGAATATAATCTGTCCAAATATCGATAACAAATAACGATCTACATGTAACTTTGCAGTTTGTGTCATTTTGCTTCCTAAAATAGGAGTGAAGAGAATTCAACAACAAAAAAATAGTAATGCTGTCCAAATATGTGCAGTAGTCGTTGGCTTCCACTGCTTGGCTTCCAAGCAGTGTTGGCTTCCACTGCTGCAACATCATTCACGCCTTTTCAATGATCCATAGGTTCTCAGGTCGCCGTGTTTCTTCCTCATGAGTGAAACACTTGACTCATTGCTCCAGCAAACCTTTTAGAGCATGACTTTTTAAACAATCTTAGTTCATTTTTTTCTTCTCTCATGTGCAAATAGTAAAAACAAAAACAAAAAAAAAACCTGTAGTAAACCAGTGACTGACTACAGTTATAGTATGTGCATCAGATTTTCCATATGTTTGCATTCTGGTGTTAAAGGTTTGCATATTTTTTTTTTTTTTGCGTGGCCTCAGATGGTAGCTCAAGGAACAACGAGACAATGGCAGTTGCTTCTGCGTAGCTGAAGGTTACGTTATTGTAACCTCAGGTCTATAAGCACAAGGGGAGCCCTCTGCTGGACTCGATGGGTAATACTCTCGTCCAATCACGAGCACATGTTCGCCCACTGAAGAGTTGCATAAGGGTAGCCTGCCAATCACCGCCCCAGGAATACACGCCCTGTCGCAACATAACATCAACCAAACCAGTCTGATCCTGACTGGCTCACCTACTTCTTTATAACCTTGGCCCCCACAGCACGAAGCCACCCCAGGTAGTATGCACCTGAACTGGGTGGAGGCATGGCCTAATCCTGCAGGGGTCAAAAAGACGGTGAGTAGTCAGTAGACACCCAGCACACCACATTCACCGGTTCAAGGAGGACATGCAGGTATCTGCACATCTTGATTGTCCTGAACTGCATGCCCGTAATTGGAGGGGAGTTTTCACCATAGAGTCCAGTATGTGGCGGAACCCTGTTTTGCAATCTTTCTGAATAAGTTGTATCAGCAGGTGGCCATGCACATACTTGACTTCAGCCATCAAGTCAGTCTTAGAGAATTGCTTGTGTTTTTTTTTTCGTGACCTTGAATCTGTCACAAAACAAGAGCACGGAAAGCACTGCCGTGCTCTACAAACTGTCTCACCCACATCTCCACACTGAGGGAAAGGACACAGACAAGGCCAGCGACGTTGGAATCCCCAACCTACAGAGCCAACTGTCTTTTACTGACAAACCTTTTCAAGGAGACAAAGACGACAATTCCGAGGAAAACGAGAAAGAGAGCAAAAAACTCAGCAGCGACGTCTCTTTCAATTTTATGTGAAGGATTTTGAAGAAACTGTGAAAGAATTTCAGTTCTCTGTTTTGTACTAAAACACACAAATGCAGGCGCTCGTTTCTAATGTGAAGACAAAAGAAAAAAAGATGTTATATTGAATGTTCTGATTGTCCATTGTGAAGTATGTTGCTCAATAATATTCTTTTCTTGATTGCTTTTTTAAAAAATGGATCTTCCAGAGCAAGTGACAGACAATAGGGAATATTTATATTTCATTTATACACTTGGTTGTCATAATCTTTGTGTTTCAATAGCCCAATTTTAATAATTAAAACATGTAAAGGTACTGATGTTGACTTTGTGATCTGAAAGTTCTGCATATGTTTCAGCTGAGCAGACACATGCAGGGCCATAGATTCACGAGAGTATTTAGAGATGAAAAGCACCAAATAAAAAGAACAACACACTAGATAATTAACGGGAGCGTTGTTCCCACTGCACATATCCAAGCCAGGATCTTAACAGAGCGAGGCTCATGTATGTGCGACATTTCCCATCCCCCTCGTGCTCCGGCTTCATTGTAACCTATTTCCAGATTATAGAGTTAGTAGTCTAAATATTGGTTTAACTTCCCTCATTTTCCTGTCACATGTGCAGTCTCCCACCCACTGGTTATTGCTGTAGCCTGTGATTTTAACTTGCTGGAAGATGCCCGCCCAAATGGTCCCCCGCCTACCAGAGCAGAGCTCTCTCCACCACAGCCTTCAGCTTCTGAAATGTGGATTCTGCTCCTCCCGGAGTGAAGTGGTAATCACTCCCGTGGGTGTTTGCTGCCCGAGCCACATTATATTGTTGTTTATACGGCTTGTAATGCTTGTGTATAATGGCATCCTTGCTTTGTTTTCTGCCCGCCCCCCCCCCCCCCTACAAAAGGTCATTCTTTAATTGCAGCATCATTTATTAAATATCTGTCGTTACCATTACCATGAGAGAGCAACACTCACAAGGTCTCATGTGTGGGAGGAAATCATCGTATTTTAAAAGTGATCTAATAAAACGTTTGTTTGAGAGAATGGGCATCGCAGCATTTCTTCTTGTTCCACACAGGACTCTCTGTACAGCAGGAGGGAAGTAGCAGCTGACCTGGCCTGAACAGTAAAAACAGAGCAAGTAGGATAAAATGTAAATATATGAATGTATCCCATGCAGCAGTATAACGTAGGTGTTTTAATTGATCATGGGCAGCATATATACAGCAGCACAACTGCTCATAAATCATTTACCGGCATTTTTTTGGGGTTGTTGGGGTACAGTGTGGTTCACTTTACACCAGCAGGGTTCAAGGTTCAATAAATACAATATTTAATAATGCCAGAATGGTCAGCAAAAATACTTTTTTCATATGAATATGTGAAAAAAGGGATAGATTATTTTATAGATTTTGTGGGCCAAATAAACACGGAACTTTCACCGGAGACCGCTGATCGTCTCCCGCGTGAAACCAAAGGTCAAAAAACTACGAAATAAAAACATTCCCTTCTTCTAATCTACTTAAATAACCGAACAACTGTACTTACTTTAAGCCAACGATGATGCTTTACTAAACCTAAACCAAGTAGTTTCGTTACGTTTTTGTTGTGTTTACAACATTAAGTGACTGTTGAAAGGAGATGAAGAGCCATTCTCGTAGCTCCTCGATCTTCCGATTTGTGACCTAGAAATTCATCTCAGTGCATCTCGAGGAGCGAGGATAGAGGAGATTTGTCGGAGATGCTTCAGCGAGGAAACACCGCTGTATCATTTGCGTGACACACAGCTGGATTTACCTCAGACCATGGCAGGATTCTACAAATGAAGCTGTTCCTTTTGCATTCATACGTTTTAGTTATTCAGGATGATAAAATGTTCTACTCACCACATGTGTAGTGCATCGTGAAGCTGTTGACATTTGATATTACTGCATCCAATTCAATTGCTGTAAAGGTGACATTTTGTTTACTCGGGCAGACGGCTGCTGTTGTTAAGTGATGCTATCAACAAGAACATTCTCTTACATTCAGCACTAGTTTGCTGTATTTGTAGAATATATATCATATTGATATCACTCAATCATATCACTCTTTATTTGTATTGTATTTTTCATACAAACATTGTTTGTGCTTCACACAATGAAATATACTGTATAAAGACTATGAAAATGATATTCAAACATTCTTGTCACATTATGCCACGTTGTAAATCAAATTAAAAGTAAATATGTAAGTTGAACACTGTTATGTTCATCTGACTGAGATCATAAAATGTAGCGGTAAAACAAAACAATGGATGCTGTGACATACGTCATGTTTAAGTTACGTCTCTTTAAAATGACCCAAAGATGGCCCCAAAGATGTCTCATTTGTTAAACTCCTGTTGCCTTGACTCCTCTGATAGCATCTCACTTTGGTGGGACCAAGACATGAGGAGAGGAGGTGAGGAAAGGAATCGAGGATGTTCAAACTGGGAGGAGAGAAAGACCTGAGGCCTCACCATAGACTGTATATACTGTAGAAGTGGAAGTTGTCATCAATTCATTTGTGGACTGTCATTGTGAAGCGTCTCAGCATTGTGGCTGTTAGCATCTGCAACCAGAAGAGACAGAAGAGGGTGGAGCTAACTACAACTCAACACTGAGTACAGTATTGTTGGTTGACCAAAATGTTACAATTAACTTTGGTGAAGTGAGAACACACTGCAAAAGGATTAAAGTTTTAAGACAAAAACACGGACAACACTGTCGTAGAGACCTGTCAATCACTGTGTAGCCCCGCCCTAAAGCATCCCCTGCTTTATGGTCTGTTTGACTCTAAATAGACCATCATTTACTAAATGAACATCATGCTGTATTGAAGAAGACTTGAAACTAGAGATTGAGACCATAAACTCATGTTTACAATGTTTACTGAGTGTCTACATCAAGAGAGAAGTAGAGTCATTTTCTCATAGACTTCTATACAACCAGAGGAGTCGCCCCCTGATGGCTGTGGACTCTGCCCCCCATGACTTACTTCTCATCAGATTTCAAAAGTGTGATTACAACAATCAAACCCTGTGTTTGCTGCGCATAGATCCTGTGACTTCAAGCTGATTTGAACCTTTTATTTGAAGCATTTCAAAAAACGGTGCTGTTCTTTTAAACCCTTTTGTTTTTTTCAAACGCAATTCAACACACCATGTCTGACACTGAACTGCACTGTGGCTCTCCCTAATTTACAGCACAAATTATTACACAGAAAAACTATAACACAGGTCCCATGCATGCACTAGCCAAAAGCTAGTTTGTTCCTTTTAGTTCAAGTTCTTGAGTCCTGTCAGATCTGTTTAATCAAATACATGTTTACACACTGTTAGTTTTTCTTTTTGACACATATACTGCAGTGAACAGAAACATGACCATCCCTGTTGTATGCTACAGTATCTCAGCCAGCAATCACTCTGAGGCTGTAAAGCAGTAAAAATAGTCTCCCAATGACAGAGGCTGAAAGAGCCACTGGCGATGGTTCACTTGTTTGAAGTGGGCCATAGCCACCGTGCTTCACACACACACACACACACACACACACACACACACACACACACACACACACACACACACACTGGGCAAACTGCATTGCCCAATGTGACTGAGTGCTGGAGGTCTGCTGCAGTCAGTGCCATCTGGGCGCCTACATGCTCCCAGATGTCCTCCCTGTAATTAAAGCCAGACTCGGCTCGGACCGGTCCAGCACAGATCCAACCTCTCATTTACAGAGGCCCTCCCTGAATACTTAAGAATCATTCCAACACCGTGCCAGTCTTTAGAGAAACTCTTTGACTCTGCAAACATATTTTCTCAAAGAAAGCTGGAAGACTTACGGTATGTTGAGGACATTTGCTTGGAATAATGTTATTTGCATTTCTAATTGAATTTCCCCCAAATTGGAAATGTTTTTTTCTTTTATAAATGCAGATTTATAGGTATTTCTGCTTTATTATATCACATTTAGTGAAGAGCAAGAGAGACCATAGGTAGAGAAAGGAAAGCAGTCTGATTTGTACTGAAACCGTTTCTTATCACTGGGTAGGAGTTCAAAATGTCCATCGCTCAGGCAGCGGCCAAGGCCATGCTATCTGATGCCCTGCTGCAGGACAGCCCTGTGTTAAACCGGATCAGCCACCTGGAGCTGGAGCTTCCTCTGGACAAGGTCATCAAGTTTGTGTCCGTCGGCCTTCCGCTGCTGCTGGTGACCATGGCCTTCGCTCGTGAGATCTCCCTGGGTGAGCAACTCCCTGTCTCCATCCTGTTTTTAAACCATGTGAAAGCATTTTCTGTGTTTCAATCACTCTG